TGGTCATAAATTCTTCCCTTATCCATAAATCTGACAAGTAAAATTTTCCATGCTCCCTTAATTTGCTTATGTCACTCTCCATGTATCCATTTTGACCATATCTTGGTATATGGCATGAGATGTTGGTCTCTAGTTTTTGCCAAACTGCTTTCCAGTTTACCATCAATTACTGATGGGCATTTTTTTGTACACCTGTAACCTCTACTCCCCCAATCATAAAGCTCTCCCCAACCTGGTGCCATTTTACTTAGGACAGAGGACACACTAAGCTTTAGCATGATCCTATTGTTCATACAAACCCGGCTGTGGAGGTGGAGAAAGTCACAGGCATTTCATAGGGGTCAAGGTGAGACCACTGAGATCTCAGTGTTCCATTAAGGTCCTTCCTCAGATTTCACTATACTTTACGCCACCCTTCCAACTCAATTTTAAAGTTTTTCTTGTTATTCCCCAGCCAAAGTCAGGGTTATATCATCTTTATTCACCCTGACCGCTTGTGGGAAGGAGGTAAGAGCCAACTCACCCTGAAAACGATGAGTATACTTCCCAAGAGTCCTTCTAAGTGTTTCAGTCCTCTAGTTAACATCAGCCCTAAAAGAGTAATCCCTTTGTTTAAAAAATCCGGGACTCTTAAGTTTTTGTGTTGTTGCCCGTTACTGGTGAACTACAGGCATCAAAAAATAAATAGATAAATAAATCTGTTATATGGTCTTTGAGCTACAACTGGTTTTTACATTTTAAAATACAAACTTTAAAGTTTAGCCATTCTTAGCTCATTGGCCATACAAAAGCAAGCTGTGGACAGTGGGCCATGGTGTGCTAACCCCTGCCTTATACCATTGCTTTCAGTGGCCATCAGTGTTAAAGGGATGTATACATATGGGTCTAAGATGAAAACACCTAAGCTTCTATTCAAAGAATAAATCATTAACCTTGATTGACCCCAATAAGGTTTGATCAAAAACAATCCCAATGCATGAACTGTGAATTGGTCCATCTAGGCTGGATATTGATGTGGAATTACAGAAAACTAAATTGTTCATATCCCTTGATACAACAGAAGTGAAAGACAGAAACAAAAATCCAGTAAATGCCAAAATATTCATAGGAGCCTGTTTCCAGATCTTTGGTGCCACAAAAAGTGGGTAACCATCGATTGGCGAATGGTGGAAAAACTAGGGTGTATTAATGTATTATTGTGTGGTGAGAAATGACAAGTAATTCAGAAAAACATTTGCTTGAACTGACTGCAAAATGATGGAAGAATGAAGGGAATATACACAATGACAACATTGTTAATGAAAAGATCACTAACAGAAAGTCAAAGTAACTGAAATCCCAAATCAAGTCCCTGACAATAGATAGTGAATAGAGGGGACAGTTCATGGCTGAAGCAGAATATTGCAGATTATCAGATGTTCTTGCTTTTTTCTTGCCATTGGGAAGGGCTCATTCAAGCAGAAGGAAGGTTGTTTGTTTGTATGTTATTTTTTAAATCACCATGATCTAGCAAACGACTGCTCAAAATAGTTCTGACAGTGGAAATGTGTCCCCTGGCTCTTGGACTGAGAACATTTGAGGGCCAGTGCACTGGGCAAATGAAAAAGGATGAGCTTCAGGTTGCTCACCTGGGCAGAAACAGACAGATTGGGAGTGTGACCTGGAAGCTTACCTGGCCAGGTGGTAGCTGAGAACAAGAGGGTTCCAGTTTATCAGGAGCAGTGCCTAAGAGGCCAAGAGAAAAGTCCCTTTCTGTGGTCACTTAAAGGCCTTTCCCAGCCCCCACAGTCCTCCAATCACCACCTCTGCACTGTTGACATGGCTGCTTTTCCCATCCAACCACATCGGCTTCTGGGTGACAGGCTCACCCACTCCCCACCACGCCTTTCTCTAGATCTGCACCCCCCCAAGTCAGTGAACACCTTACACCCCAGCAGGCCCACCTGTCTCTGCTTGCTCATCACTTTCCACTCGCTCCCATGGTTTTTCTGCCAGGGTCTAGGCAGCTCCTCTCGTTTTCTGACTATGGAGGCATTATCTGATGAGATAGTTTGAGAACACAACTCTCTATCAGGTCCTGGGCACTCTGCCAACTTGCAGCTGGGCTGACTGGTTTGTTTCCAAGGTGGAGCTGATGGTTAAAGGTGAGACCCATGAAGATCACATTTCACTCAGTACATACCTCATGATACAGACGGAGACTTCTTCCACCAGACGAGTGCAGATCAGTGTAAACTGTAAGCATGTTACAGTTCTTGGTTCAAGTCTGCCTGGCAAGAGCGGGCAGATGGAGGGCACAGATGGGTTTAGCTTTGGCCATGCTTAGGACCTTGCTTGGGGAATGAGGTAGCCTCAGACCTCTTACTGGCCAGCACCACCAACCACCTGCAAATCCGGAGCCAGGTCACGTTATGTCCCTTTTGACAGGTCCTAATCTTTCTTCTCATCCTTATTGAAGATCTTAACACCAGGCAAGCCCTCAAGTTGTTCAGGTTTGGATATAGCTCAGCTCTGTCACATAAGAGATCCTCAAAGGCTCCATCCTTTAATGATGTCACATGAATCCCAAAATCCCAGATATAGAAGGGCCAGAGCGTGAGTTGGAATGGACCCCTGAGATCATCTAGTTCCAGCAGTGAAGGACCAAGAATGTCCTCCTCAAGTGACTGTTTCACCCTGCCCACTGTCCCTGGCTCTGCCTTCTGGGGTCAAGAACCTGAGCTCTGCACCTCTGGTGGCAGCTTCTCCGAGATCAACCCAAATTTAGGATAAACAATGGGGCAGCCACAGTTCCAACTTGAATCTCAACTTATGAAGGAATGTTTCTTTTAGAAGAACTTAAAAAAGAAATATCTGCAGAACCCCAGCTCTGAGGAAAAGCCGCAAGAGACTAATTTTGATCTTTGCTTGGTGCACTTAGATGACTGTGTACTGGAGAAATGCAACAGGGCAAACGGGTAAGAATATTTTCAGATACCAGGATAAGGAAGCTTCAGTTCCCTGTTATCACTGGGAGACCATTAAGTTGCTTGCTTTTGCTGAGTCAGTCCCACATGGAACAGGGCAAGATGCTTAGCACTATCCAGAGCTTCCTTTAAGAGGACAGGATGCATGAGTAATGGAAAGATTTGGGGCTGAATCACAGCTCCTGCTTTAGCTGTTGGACAGCTGTTCCCTCGCTCAACCAAATCCACTGAGCTGGCTGGAATATTCATATACAAAAATTCCCAACAGCTGTCAGCACAGGTTGGAAACAGGTCTACAATCTAGTCTTATGAAAGAACGAATGGACGTGTAGTTGGCCTTGCATCTGTAGCAAAGATGCTACCTTCTACAAATCTGAACTGGCCTCGGGTGAAGGAATAGCATTGCTGAAGCAGGATCCCTTTAGCCTTCATCCCTTATTTCAATTTTCCCAGATAGCTATCCCTGTTTCTAGTGATGGCAGCAGTGCAGGCTGATGGAGAACTGTTTATGCTTTAGGCTGAAGTCATCAACTTAAAATAATTCATACAAACCAAATTCTCAAGCGAGGAAATGTTCTCCCCAAGGAGAGGAAGGGAATGATGGGGCTTCTTAGGTCATGGCAGAAGCAATGTGTTCTCTCCCTCCCTACATAACTAATAAACAAACAAGGGGGAATGACCCCTGACAGTGGGAAAAATGAAATGAGGACTTGAGGTCAAATCTTCAGTTAGGAAAGAGGCTAGAGAGACAGAAGTGCTCAAGTATCCAAGCTCAAACAGAGGTGGGTAACAAGGAGGCAAGAGGAAGAAAATTTGTCTCTGCTTTCCTTCCTATGTATAAATACTGTTGGTCATCAGGAGAAATCACAGACTAAAGAGGATGGAAGGCTGAAGATAGGTTAAAACACAAGGCAATAACAACACTGGCTCTTTTGAGATGTAAAGCTGTGGCAGACTCACTTAACTAATCCGTAATCAAGACAGTCTGTCAGCAGAGGTCAGGGCAGCAGCCACATAATGTTGTATGCCTTGGGGGGGGGGGGGCAATGCCAGTGTGGGTACCATTACCATTTTACTGAATCAGAAAAAGTGAACTCTCTCCTTGAAGTCCCAAGTGGTGGGCTGAGAAGTGCTGAGGGTACACTGGATAATGGGGGTGGGGTGGGGTGTTTAGGCTGGCACTCTAGTGCCACTCCTTACTGCCATGAAAGAATGGAGGTGACTCCAAAAGGCCATCAGCAAATTCTCAGTCCCCAGATGCCTTCTTCTACATCTATTTCTTAGAGGCCATTTCCCATCACACCTGGAAACCATATAGAATTCAAAGGAAATGGCATGGCTGCTGCTAACTGGTTCTTGTTTTGAAAAGGCTTATGTTCCTTTTAACAGGGGCCCCTTTTGTTTTTTGTTTCAAAGTCAGTTATGTGACTTGGCCGGGAAGGTGAAAGACGTTACGTGACTTCCAGAACTGGCCATCACCCTGACAGCCAATGTCACTGGCTTCCTTGTGAGCACTGGGATCTGAAGCCATCTTGAGCCAGTCATTGTGGGGGGACGGCATTTTCTCAAAAGGCGACTCACTGATGGAATTAATGTAAAATATCTATGGGGCCAAGGGAACAGGTTCTGTTTCACCAAATAATAAAGAAGGAAATCAGGCTGGGAAAGAAGACAAGAAATCCACCTAACTTACTAGATAACTTGAACTCAATTAAATCAATTAGAAGAAGTCAAGTGTTGCCTGCCTGATCTGCCTTACAATGATAATTACATGTCATAACCTCCACTCGATTTGTATTTTGAATTTGAGGGCTACGAAGTAGTTTGTGGCCTATGTCAGATATGAATAGCAGGAAAGTAGGGAAAAATCTAGAAGGGAACAAAATTGGAAAGACTGCTGAAGTCCAATTAGGTACCAAAAAAGAAAAAAAACAATTATTTCCAAATCTTGCCACCTAGATCTTGCTGATGGGTGAAATAAATCTCCCTTGTGGATTCCAGCCTTAAGCCACAAGGAAGACAGTAAGAGAGCACTTGTAAAAAGAATGAGCTTGTATTTCTTCTGATCCAGAGTGGTACAATTCATGGTGTCTGCACTATATAACCAGTCCCACTTTCAGCTCTCCCCAGTAGTCCCCATTCACCCCCTTCTAAAGTCAACATTGTACAAAACTGTATTTACAAGAAAACCAGTTAAAAATGAAGGGTGTGTACAAAAAAGAAGGGCTTGGTTGGGAGGGAAAGGCAATTCAAGCAGGGAATACATCTGGGACTGAGGGGACATCCCAGGCTGGGCCAGGGCCACGCATCACTGCAAAGAGTGCATGGAATCATCTCTCAGTTTAAATGTTTCAAGATCTTAATAACTGCCCCTTCCTCCTGTCCCATGGGATCAAAGCAAAGTGATCACGAAGAAAAAAAGGAGGGAAGAGGGGGTAAACAACAACCGGCATGTCCTCAGAACTCTCTTCAGAACACAGTCTTTGACATGCCTGGGGGCAAGTCCACTGTTGGGCTCAGAAGGCATAGCGGGTACGGATGTCTTCCAACTTCTTTGAGACCTCAGGTGGTGTCCTATCCAACTCTTCTGATACATTCTTCTGTTTGTTGGGCTCCATTGAGTTGAACTGTTCACAAAGGTCACCATCAATCACATTCTAAGAAAAAAGGAAGAGAAGATCAGCACCCTAATGCTGAATTTGAACAATTACTACGAGCAAATGAAGACACAGTGAAAAATTAAGAAAAGCCTTCTCTCTCATGAAACCTTTAACACAAGATAGAGGACCTGGGTTCAAATTCCACTTTTGATGCTTACTATTTGTGTGCTCTTTGACATTTAACCTTCCTAGGTCTCCCTCAGCTTCCTCCCTTGTAAAACGAAGAGATCAAATTAGATGGTCTTTTGGGGTTGCTCCCAGCTCTGGAGGTGTAACTGTAAGATCACATGACTAGGGCTGGGGCCTTAAGTTGGCCCGTGAAATGCCTAGGTGTAAGTGCTTCCTAAAAATGGATACGGGGTCTGAAAGAACTGTTCCTGGGCAAGGGGCAGAGAAGAGGTGAAAAAGAAGCTTAAGACTCTTGAACTTTGGCCAAAAAAAAAAAAGATGAGACAGTTGCTGGTTATGGCTCTCCTGAAGACAGGACTGTATTAATCAATTCCCCTGAGGGAGCAGAAGTTGTAAACACATATAGATGCAGACTACCATGCCCAGAGCAGGGCTATCTCTAACCACATCTGTGTTCATACCTGCCTTTGCCAATTCAATCATTCAAAATTATTTTGATTCTTAATGGAAGGAACATTCAGTAGGGAGGGCCCAGGTCAAGTAGAATTAGAAGAAAGGATGGTAAAGAGGGCGTTCCATTTCAGTGCAGACCCACCTTCACAGGGAAGTAGTAGGAACGGAAGCTGAGGTGGTCCCTTCCACAGAGAGGAGGATGCTCAGACCGCAGATGCATCTCCACATGTTGGAAGAAGTCATGATCCTGAGAAAGAAACAAAAACTAGAAAAACTAATTCCATGATGTGGCTTCCTAGGTTGGAGATGCTGAGAAAACACCTAAACGAGTCCCTGATTTCTCTGTCCTCATCTCTTAGACCACAGAATACATGTGCTCTGGCTTCAAAGAGCAACATGTTTCTACTGGATTTTCCAAGGCTTTCTTTGTATTACCTCAGGGCCTCAGGGCAGGGACAGTTATATCCAGTGAGCTAGACTACATAAAAAGGCTATGGCCATCAAGTGGCAGGCATACTGTTACTGCGGAGGCCTCTTGGCCTCACGCTGTTCCTACAGACAGAGCAGCACAAACTCAGTTGACTAATGCTCTCTCTCAATGTGGGGGCAGGGGGGGGCACTAGGGTTCAGGTGTGGTGACTTTTTCCTACTTTAGGGGAAGACTTGATGGGTTTCAAACTGAACAGAAACCTGCACTCACACCAGAGCACACCCTTAACCCTTCAAATACCCAGTTTAGAAGAACTTCCAGGACCCTCCCTGCCAGAGTGTCTCACCCACCTTACTCTAACACTCCAGTGAACAGGCTATGGCTGTTCCCTTTGTCTTCCTGAAATGAGGCATGGGGCCTGATAACTGCTAAGTGGGAAAGAATTTTCTCGATTTGCTTTTCTAGGCAGTGGCTCACTGCAGATTCAAGAAATTACTCGATCAAGAAAGAATGTACTCACCTCATGGGATGTGAAAGGCACAAGGATCCCAATCCCGCCTGACAAGGTAGTGTAGACAAGGGATTCTGAGCCTCCTGGGATCAGTGTGGTCTTCTGTAAGGAAAGTACTGTCTCCCCTACATGGTAATTCATGATTACTTCTGCCTGCAAAGAGAATCACACCAATTCGTGTCTTCTCAGGAGTCTGCTCTGGCTTACCCAGAAAGTCTCAAATCCCAAGAGGGTGAGGCTGGCTTTACTCTTCAAGTGATGGGCTCTTCTCAGTGAATTTAAAGAATGGGGAAAATAATATTTGAAGTAAATCATGTAAGCTAAAACCCTGACATTCCAAATCTATAAGAAATTGATGCAGATCTTCAAGATTAACAATACACACTCTGCAACGGTCAAACTGCAAGAAAAATAATTTACAAAAAAAATAAAGGTTACCAATAACCACATGAAAAGATGCTCAAATTCCCCTAATCATCAGAAAAATGCAATTCAAGAAAGCCTTAAACCATCCTAGGCTGTGGGGAAACAGGCTTCTTAATATACTTTTGGTCAGACTGGCCACAGAAACAGAACTGTACAGACACTGACTGCAACTAGGTATATACACTTTAAAGAAGAAAAAAAAGTAGGCAGGGAAAATAGCCAGAAACAAAAGTGGCAGAATTTTAGGTAAGCACATAAGAGGATCCAGGGAGGGAAAGGGTACACAGCCAGACTCAAGGCTGACTCAGACCTGGATTCGAACTCTACCTCAGAAACACACTGACTGTGTGGCCTAAAGCAACTGCTTAACCTCTCAGAGCCCCACACAATTTGCCAAAACTCTAAGCTGCAAGACAGCTGTCTAGCTGAATCACAGAAGAATCATTCCTGGGAATTCCCTACACCAATGAAACCACAGTTTTGGACCAAAAAAGAAAGAAAAAAAGAAAAAAAAAGGCCAGTGCGGTATTATGCAAGAGAGAAGGAAATAAAGGTCAACATGAGGCATTCTGAAGGATCCTTTAAGAAAACTACATCCCTCCCCTCCCCATATTTAGATTTCCCCCCTTACCCCGGGAACTTAGTATGACTTAGAGAAATTAATTCATCAACCCCTATACTAAAATCATTTTCACTCTACTGACAGTAAAAAAGAAGCACAGAGGAAGGAAGCCCAGGGCTCCAACATCAAGGTCTGTGCTCTTAGGCATGAGTGTGTCTGTAAAGTTAAGACTCTATGTAAAGTCCATGGCTCTAATGGAGTTGGGAGCAGTGCAGGCAGCTCCAAAGGTTTTTCTACCAGAGGAAAGGAGAGCAGACTAGGCCCTGGACCTGCCAGCCAGACTGATCCCCCAGAGGTCCAGAAACATTACCTTTTGTGAGGCACCATTGAGAAGTCCCCGGTCCCACAGGGCCTTGTTTCCTGTTGGGTCTTCATCTACTTCATCATTGGTATTAGGTGGGAGCCTCACCTACCAGGAAATAAGACACAAAAAAGGGTCTCTCCTCTGCCCTGTGAGCCATGGCATTATCCTGGGTAGCATACCTGCTGGGGAGCTACTCTAAGCTGGGACCTGGGCAGCTAGTAGGTGATAGTACAGCTCTAAAGTCACAGAATTTAAGCACATGCCCCTATGAAAAAAATTAGGCGTAAAAAAAAATTAGGCTGTAAACAAAGCAAAAATGCTAAAAACCAAAAAACCAAAAAAACACCACCCCTAGTCTGTAGCTAACAGACCAGTCAGTAATAAATCTGTGAGTATAAATGACATTGGTGTACGATGGGAGTGGAAATCCAACCACAAGCAACAGATTTATGTTCCATTGTCTCGTCTCCCACCAGCTTGACAATTCTTTCCCACCTTGCTAAAGCCCTTCAGCAAGGACACTCACAACACAAATGTTGCCAAACTTGTCAGCCCCAGCCACGGTATCGTAGTCCAAGAGGCTGGCCGTTGTGACCCAACGGGGATAGGTGTCATCAGCAAAGATGATGAGCTGGTTTTCGTTGCGCTTGTACCTGACCCAGATGAAGCTCTCCTGGACGTCAGATACGATGACCCGGTGTCCAATTGTCTGGATCCCGGAGATGTAGTTTGCAATGTGCTGTGAGAGGAGACAGCGGTACAAGTGAATCCTAAGAGCTCAGGCAGAGCCCACTGGATTCCACCTTTCCCTGACCAGAGCAAACACACAGCCCAAATGCTGGAAGCCAGTGACAGCACCAACAATGATACCTAATAACGTCTCAGGTCAAAAGTTCTAAGCAAATAGTGACTACAGCTCAGCTCTTTCTGCAGCCCTAGGAATGGTACCAATTATAATGCCTCAAGTAAGGAGTCTTTCTGGTCTCTCTAGCACCTCTTCTCTACCCAATCAGTGCCTGGCACATGACATCAAAGGCACCGGAGAGATGTTTGCCTGTTGATGGACAGCTAATACCACATCGACATCTTAAACCCTACTACCAAAATCCTGGGCAATAGATTCCTATTATTTCCTCCTGGTACGCCAATCCACCTTCTTAACTTTTTCAAGAATGACCTTTCCCTAATATCCCAGAAACTGGGTTCTGGATCAGCCCTTCAAGAGAACCACAGACTACTGCTTACACCCACCACCCCAAACCTGCCTCTCCCTAACATTCCTTACCCACTACTTCAGTTTTCTTACCTCTTCCCTGACCCCCACGTTACCTTATTCTCACATTTTCGGAGCAACTTCTTTTTCCCGAGGTCATAGACCCGCAACAGCTTTCCCACACCAATCAATACCCTGCCCTGGAATGGGGCAATGGCTGCAGGGACCTCTTCCACTGGAGTCTGAAGAAGAGAAAGGAGGGAGGAAATACATTTCAAGCGCCACCTTCTGCAGGAAACCTCTCATTCCCCCAACTGCCAGTGACCTCCTTCCCAAAATGCCATACATTCAACTCCCTTATATTTATTTTCTATCTTACTATCTCTCTATCTATGAGTAGAGAAGGTTTCATTCTTTCTATCTGTATCAGTACCTAGCACAATGCTTGGCAGTAGTGTGCACTTAATTAATGCCTATCAATATCAGATGTCCAATTCCAGCCATGAGCTCTGGCTCTGAGGCCCAGAGATTAATGCCCTCCCACACATTCCACGCATATGGCAATAAGATACATTGCCAACTATAATTTTTGCTCATTTGAGAAATAGATTGCTATACTTCCATGCTTTTGTCTAAAATATTTTTTTCCCCAAAAGGGGAATTTGCTTAGCAGTCTTATTCTGCCTGAAGTCACACAGAAAAGAATCAGAGTCAACTTCTATTTTGCAAATGGGAAACAAAGGTACTGAAGTTTCATACTTTGTATGAGTCATCAAGGAAATCAACGACCTAACTAGGAACACAATCTGGGAATTCTAACCTCAATTCCAAAAGCCTCTTCTAGAGAGGAAATGTCAACTTAGCTGGCTTCAGCTGCTGCCTCCAAACAACAGCAAGGGCTGAGCTAAGCACAGTATGAGCTTGGGGGGGAGGGTACTCATGAAAATAACCAGCTGGATGCCAGACAACCTAGAGGGAACTGTGCACTTTTACTATTCTGTCTAGGCTTGGCTTTTTCATCTGGAAAAAAAAAAATTCACTGAATCCTATTACAAAAGGGGTTAATATCACATATAGGAGAAAACACAAAATAAGCAATTTCACCCAAGAACAGAGCTAAAGGCACCACATTCATTGAGTCTAGGCAAGTCTGACAATACCATTTCTTTGGAAAGGCTGGTCTTGGGTCATGCATTGCTCCTCAAACGAGCCAGACCAGTAAACAAGGGGCCAATTCAATCTGTCTCTCCTTGGCGTGGGCAGTGAATACCCAGCAGCTTCGGGTGGAACTGCCTGGAAGTAATGAAGTGCAGGAGGAAAACCCCAACATTCTTAAAAATGCCACTGTCCTCTCAGTAGGGGGCTTTGGTCAGTCACTGAAATAGTCCTAGACTAACAACAATGAAGGTCAGTACAAAGTAAAAGTGTCACTAGATGGGCTCTTTCTTACCTTATGCAAAAACTCCAGTTTCTCTCCACTGTTCACCAGTTTATAGGTATAGACAAAGCCTCCAGCCACAGAGCGGGGATTCAGAATGAGGTCTTTGGCTACCCCCACCAGCACATACCAATCATCACCAGTATTTGAGAATCGGCACACTGCCACACTGTGGATAGAAAAGAAGGCCTCAGGGGTAAGTCTCAACCCAGGAATCTCTAGCCCCCTTCTATGCAACTCTGCAGTTCCTCAGGCTCCTTACCTAAAAGCAGCCTCATTCTGTTCCAGCTGGACAAGATCCAGTGTGTTTCCTTGTATGGGATTCATTACCCGGACCACAGAAGCCCACTGCCCATTGCCCGCTTTAGGGGCTCCAAAGATGGATTCTGGGAGATTTTCATTCAGGAAGGCAGCAGCCATCTCGGCTGCCAACTCTCTCTCATCCTCCCCTGCTGCTTCTACCATTTCCTATAGTACAGAATGGAAGGCAAGAGCCACAAAGAGGTGAATTGAGGTCCACTGAGGGGGGAAAAAAGATTAAAGTCAAGAAAGAAATAAAAATGTGTTGGGGAGTGGAAAGGGAATTTGTTTAGGCAGAACAATCTCCCTAAATGAGAGGTTTTTGCCTCCCCTATTCCAGGGCACAGTGGGCTTCTACTTGACTGTAGTTTTGTTTGGATTCTTGCTGCCCACGAAGAAAAGGAAAATGAAAGCTGATTGTCTTGATTAGGCCAGGATCCGACATAGGGGAAACCGTGTTGTGCTGAGGCCTCAGACCTAGGTTTGAAACTTCTGCTCTACTCTTTATTCTTGGGTGATCATGAACAAGTCACTTAAGCTCTGTAGGCCTGTCCTTAAGGGACTGGCCTGGATCTGGTCTAAGACCCCTTTGGTGCTATTTATGAAGGCAGCTGGCCCAAGGATGCACCTCCATCAGCAAGTAGGTCAAACATCTTGATTCTAGTCATATCTAGCTGTTGGTGCTCCACTCCAGGGCTTCTCCAAGGGCAGGGAGGGATCATTACCTCTGCCATCTGCTGCTTCCTCTGCGCTTTTGTGGCCTCAGTATAAGCGTTGTGATCGGTCTCAATGATGATAAGGTTGTTGCTCTCAGGGTGGATGACAAACTTCCTTGGAGTGTACTGCAGGGGAAATGCTACCTGGTTGAAGACAGCACCGAGCTTCTCCAAAGCCAAAATCCTAGAGGGAAAGACTAGCTTATGAATGGGTGACCCACTCAAGAGGGAATACATGACCAGAGCACTAGCAATAAGTAACACAAACCAATAAAGGATCCTGGATTGGGGAGATGTGGCTAGCCAGGGGATCACACGTACAGGACCCACATATCACTGGAGTGGGACCACCCTCTGCTGGGCAGCTGCCTCTTCGATCCCTCTGCTCCATGGGAGTCTCGTTCTTGCCCAAAGGCCATGATAATTGTCTCTTAAGTTGGAATATTTTCCTCACCACTACAAACACTGAAACTCAAAGAACCCATTCTGAAACTGGCCTTAACTGGTAAGGTGATCTGAGAACACTTTAACATTTGTGCTGACCGCAACTCCTAGTATAATTAGGGAGTCCTTCACTAAAGTCAAACTACTCCAGCTTTGGGACATCAGCCATCATCGACACAGGGGACCTGGCAACTTGGAGGACAGAAACATGGGGGTGGGTGAGCCTGACCATCTTTTTAACAAGTAACAGAACAAAGGGACACACTTTTAACAGTAAGCATTCATTCTGGAACTCGGGAATGAGCCCAAGGGAAGCACAGACCTAATTCTCTATTAGCACTCCACTCTATATTTCCTAAAGACACAAGTGCACTAGACTTGGGCAAGTTCTCCTTACTCTGGTGCACAAGGACACTTAAACTGGGCTGATTCCCTACTCAAGTCATCCTCACATTTCCTGTCAGCCTTAATGAGCCTCACTCCAGGCTTGATGACTCATCTATCACCTCAAACAGTCCTGCAATCTTGCTATTCCAAATATCCAAACCTCTGCTCTATGCTAAACTGCAAACAGATATTTATGATGCTCAAACAGGACTAAGAAATCTGGCTTCTTAGAGTTATTTCTCTGTGTGTGTGTGTGTGTGGGGGGGGATATATACATGACCTATTTTGCCTCATCTGGGTGCATATCACCATGCAAAAATAAAATACACAAAAAAATTTTCCCACTAACTGTGGAGTAATCTCTCCAGATTAAGCCAATGAGCTTTTTTCTAGTCTAAGGGCTCTTTAAAGAGACAGATCAAAACTCTATCCCCACATTCCTTCTTCTAGTTACAATTTCAGTGAATCACAATCCATTCAATTTCCAAACTTGTGCTACCCCTTCCTCTCCCAATGACCTAATAAGGTTAATTCCTTGACCACCACACACATAACAACATGACAAAAGAAACAGCACTGCCAACCAACTCCAAAAGCCACCCTACTGCCAGTTCTTACAGCCTCTTGCATAACTCCTCTGTACCCATTGAGGAATGAGCACAGGAGGGATGGAGTGATCTAACTCTGTCAGTCTGTAGTTATTTAGAAAGCACAGTAGCTTTGGCTTAATAGAAAAGCAATCACATGAGGAAGACCAAGGCCTTCCAAGAACAATCCCAGGGCTCATTCTCTCTTTTAATTCTGTTTCTGTCAGTTTCCAATGACAAGTGTCCTCGTGTCCCAAGTAAGAGACAACTGTCCCAACTTGCATAAACTCTGTGTGAGTCTTTTCATTCAACAAAACTAAGTGCTAACTACATGTAAAAATCTGTATCAAGTGCTTTGGGGATACAAAAACATGTAAGAAATTGTTCTCCTCCTCAGAGAACTTAGGACCCAATGGGGAAAAGACACATACATACATAACAAGGGGGGACATACATGAAGGGCCATTCGATTGGTTACAGGAGTTCAGATGGAGAGACTCTGTTTAGAGAAATCTGGAATGGCTCCAGGAAGGAAGTGTGAGCTGGGCCTTTAGAGATAGGTAGAATTCCAATAAGCGAGGCAGGGAAATTTCTAGTAGAGGGGATGGCATGAGCAAAGATATGGAAGGCAAGAAAGCATGGCATGGCCAAGGGACAGTGATTAGGTCACTTTACCTTTGGTGGTTAGTGTTTACATAGGGGTACAATGATAGATGTGCTTGAAAAGATGGGTAAGGGCTAGATTGTAGAATGGCTTTAATGCCAAGCTAATGAGTTTGGCCTTTATTCAGCAGCCAATGGGGAGCCATTATTAGATCCCAGAAGGAACAGATTGCCTTGATAAAAACTAAAATTTGGCTCCAGGATGCTAAATAAAAATCGAAACTCCAAACAATGAAACTTGGCTCCATTACACTAGAATTTCTGAAGAGCCAAACCTGTAAGGGTTTCAACTACATCAGTGGACACTGGGAAACAAATACCCCTAAATATTATCTTCTTCTGACACTCTGAATGTACCAACATTGTGGTAAATTACCTCCTGAGTACTCCTGTTAGGTTGCAAAACTCACCTTAAAGTGTTGGTGGAGATGGCCACAATGCCCTCAGGACACTGCTCAGATGCAAACCCAGATGCAAACTCCAGGGTCTCATAGGACAGAGGGGTCAGATGAAAGCGGGACTGGTAAGAATAGCTCAGCCACGAGCGACTCGACATAGCCAAAACCTGAATGAGGAAGTGTCCACTCTGAGCACCAGTCACACTTGATGCCAGGGTAAGTTGCTATAACTTTGCTGTATTCAAGCAACTCAAGCAGAAGACGGTAGAATTTACTACACAATTTTATAAAAGTGTTAAGAATGTCCAAAAGTGAAAGGGAGAGCCCTATGGAAGGCACCTAGGCCTATATGCCCTGTCTTCCTCATATTCCTGAAGGAGCCTGCTAAAGACAAGAAATGCCTCCCCAATACCAGCTCTTTGGTTATGAGGTGGGATGGGATGTGGGGCATTCCTGGAGGGTGCAGGTGTTCAATGACGTGTTATCTCACCTTCTACTTCTCATGGTGCCCTTTTATACTAGCAGGCTTGGTTCCTGATTCACTTACCGCTTCCTGGCCCTGCATCCGGACTCGGAAAAGTTTCACGGGGCGAGAGCCCAAGTATCTCGTACGGGTGTCAGACAGATCACCAGTGACAGGGTCTAGGACAGTCCTTAACAGCACACCATTCTGAGCAGAAGAGTGGAGGAAAGGAGCAGTTTGTGGTTACAGCAAAAAGAACCTCAGATGATTTGTGGTGACACAAGAAAACTCATTTTGAAGAAGTTTCTCTGCAGACTCTGGCCCCACCCTGGAGCTTATTTGCTTAGTTATTTCTCTAAGGGAGAAAATAGCCTGGCTGGGGGTGAAAACACAGGCTGTTCTTCCTGCACATAGGCATCCTCGCCCAGCTGACTAGGGCCCTGGATAAGGCAGGACGGACCCAACAGATGAATTTTCAAAACATTTTGGGCAATTTAATTTTGGGCACTATCCTTTCTCCTTGGGCAGGGAGGCCTTGTTACACACTCTGGGAACTGCTAGTTTAACAACCCAGCTCTAAAGCAACTTGTTCTACAAGCCCAACCACAACCAGGGGGCCTGGCCCCAAATGCTGGCGTGGGAACTCTGGAATGGTCCCTCGGACCTGACCAGTGACCCAAAAACATTTCCAGTAGATGTTTTTAAAACAGACTTTTTTTTAACGGAATGCCAAACTTCACGAATGTAAGCCTGCATCCTGGAGCTACTCTCTGCAGACTGGAGATCAGGAATCCACAAAGGAGCCCTCCCAAGCTATGGACCTAAGTTTCTCCACCCTCTTCAGCTGGGTTACCAACCCCCAGTGATGGGTTGACACAGTTATAGGAGACACAGTTAAACAAAGGGAACACGGGCAACTACCGAAGTGCTTGAGGACATGCATTCTGAGCCCTGGAGACCCTTACCTGCAGCCCAATGTTTAGGTAGAGGAAGCCAATGGAGCCCCTTTCCCCCAGCTCATCTTGCTTCTCAGCCCCACCCATCTCGACAATACACAGCGACTCTGGCTGGGCTGGGAGGGCCTGCATGCTCAGTGGCTGGAGGCAGTCCTAGAGGAGACGGAAAGGATAGGATGAGTCCGGATGTCAAGGAATGACTTACTTCAGACCATGTCTACAGAAAGCTTGAGGCTCTCTGACCTGCTCAGGGAGCCTTGCAAGGAAAAACCAGGGCTGAGAAAGCCATGGCTTCTTTTTGCTTAACGACTAAGCTAACCATATGAGGGGTGCTAAGGATGTGTAAACTTCCCAGTTCCCTACAAAGATACAGGTTCCATGCTACCTGTAAAAATATCAGGATGCAGCTAGGCTAACAAAGAAGCCATAAACTCTTTTTCACTCTACCCCATATCAACATCATGATCCACTCCACACTGGACCCTAGCTAGGTCTATACCCCTAATGGAAATTTGTATTTGGGGCGACCTCTTCAGTCAAAGCTCCAATCTATTCCGGAGACATGGAAGTCACTCACCGAAGGGTCCAAAGAGATGATTCGAACAGTGTTGTCCACCAGCCCCACAGCCAGGAAACGAGAGCGCTGCTCCCCAGGAGGCACGTTGGCCAAACTCATGCACACCACATCTGCAGACATCTCCTTCCGCTCAGTGTACTCATTCAGCTGTCCTGACTGCAGACATAAGGACAGGGAAATATCACTACTTGCACACGTGGACGGAGGAACCATTCTAGCCACAACCACACCCAAGATTTAACCAGCATAGAGGTTTGGTACCATTGATACCCACTGACATTAGGTTCAAGCCCTTTGAGAGACATTCATTTTTCCATAAATTTTACCAACCAAAAATGGACACTGATCATTCTATGAAAATGTTCTGGGCCTCAGAAGACCTACAAGTTTGGGATCCTGTGACAAAAATACAAAGAAAAACAAAACAACAACAAAACCACCCCAAAAACAAAAAAACTCAACCTCTGGGCAAACTGCCAACGATTTTAAGGCTTGATTTTTAAAGAAAATTAACAAAAGATTTATAGACAAACAAAACAGTCTATTTTGTGAAGTAGCCATACCCACACTCTGCAGCCCTCAAAGGAAATAAGAATTACCAACTTCCTTTCATTTGGGAAGGATGATTGTGAGAAGTGCGCCAACACTACAGAAATTAAATGTTGCATCCTTTCAAAAGGCACACATATTTGAGTAGAAGAGGGCAAAAGTCAAACTCAAGAAAAGCATGGTATGAAGCTGTTCAAGGCGCTGACTTCTCTAAAGCTGATGGAAGCTGCACACTTTAGTTTGGATTCCCAGAAAGGTTTGTGTAGAAACTTTACAATCAGAAGGGGTCCAGGGCGAGTGGGGTTCCAGCCACTCACCCTCCTGAGTTCTCTTCTCTTGTAGCCATCTGCCTAAGCAGCCTGGACCATGGCCAACAACCCTGACATCAGGTGTCCTACACTAAGTCCTATCTGAGAAGGTGGATGGTGGTGGTCAAGTAACCTACGGGATCCATCTCGAAGTAGACTAGCTCTCCTCCTGTCAGGGCAATCACCACCTGCCGCTGGTTTACTGCACACTTCACAATAGTTTTCTTTCCTGGTGTCTTCCACTCATTTACTCTCTTATCTGCTCGGATGTGCCGGATGCCATCTGGATATACCTGGAGGCAACAGCAAAAGGGAAACACATTTTAAAGTTACTCTGGCCACTGCCCAAAACAATCCCCAATCCCAGGACTGCCAACTCAGGCCAGTAACTTCTGAGGTTACAAAAATAGAGCTCATAAGCCCCAAAGGAAGGCAATGTTAAATCACAGTTTATATTTTGCATTCCCAAGTTGAGATATTCAAATCTAATTATCTATAACATTCTTACAAAGTCCTCCTGAGATGAGGATAGTTTAACAGATAAGACAATTTATTTGAGGCCTAGAGAAAAATTCCTGGTCTAAAATCTGAGTGATTAATATCTCAAGAGTTGAAAATTCAATACAGTATACTCTCTTAGCCTCGTCTATTCTCTATCAAGTGTTCTAAGTCTGTGCCCCAAATTGGAGTGACAAGGGGACAGAATAAACGGATTTGTCTTCGAGTTTCTGAATTTCCTCACCTGCACCAAAGCATCATCTCCTAACAAGGAACAGGACAAAGTTGGAGTGGTACCCAGGAAGCCAGAATCTGTCACTTCTTCTACAGTCTCTCCAATAGAAAGTACCAGGGTGGCATTCACGAAAGACACGATGATATAAGCATCAAATTCATCTAAAGAAGAAAGGAGAAGGAAGAGGTCAGTCAGTTAGTTTGGTGCAGACAACATCTGTAACCCCAAATGAATACATACACAACGTAAAGAGCTCCTCTTCCAGCAACCTGTCAAGAGCACAGCTCTTAGTATCTGTGGTCATCAGCACGCAATTAAAATATTAAATAGCACAAGATGAACCAGGAGCAGATCATCAAAATGATGGAGATTATGCAAGAATCTGGGGAACACTGCTTCCAAATTGACCGGATTTTCTCAATCTGAACAGAGAGGCATCTCAAGCACAGGAGATTTATTGATATTTGCCTCCAATGCCACTGAAAACTAACACACCTCCCCAGATACAGCTGCTTACTATTGACAGAGGGCTACAGGGAGAAAAAAGAGTAACATCGGCTTAAGGGAACTGTAAAGCAACCCACTTTCCATACAATGAACAGGGATCACATCTTTCTATTGGCTACCAAGTAAGAGCTCACTCCATAGGAGAAACGGTTAGATCCAGGAAGGATTCCATATTACTTTTCTCCACAGAAGCTTAGTAGAGTATTTCATGAGAACACAATCTCAAAGGGCAGGAGAAAACAAGTAAATCAGTAATGGAAAGACTACCAGTCTCTTCCAGTAGGAATGACACGACAACACTAGTTGATTGGGGTCACAGAAAGAGTTTGTACTGTTAGTCCTTGACCTCTCCGGGAAATAAAATTAGGATTTTTCACTATTAAAAAAACAAAACAAAAACCAAAAATGACCTATTGCCCCAGACCAAGCCTACCAGGACACAATTTTCCTTTAGAGAAATGCAGTTGAATAAACAAACACTAATGAAATTCTTCAGGAGGTCAGAGACCTTTAGGTACACACACTCACTCCAAAAGACTCCTTCATACAATCCAGCATGTTATAGGCCATTGATTTCCCACACATTCAGCTATTTGTAACTGAAAACACAGAAGGCCTGAGCAATTCTGCACAAAAATGTCTTTTAAATAATAGTTGAGATATTTTTTTTTCCACAAGTAAATTTTGGACCTTATCCTTTCAACAGGTAAATAACAAAGTACTGAGGCAGGGGGATGGTATAATCAGAGTAGCTGGTTAATAACTAAAGCAGAAATTGAATTGTCTTTTTTCAGACCACCTTGACTGACTTTCTTATTTGAAGATGACCCTCCTAACAACAGTGCACGTACTTACAACAGTTTTTCCATCAGTGATGAGGGAGTGCACTGAGCCATCCACATTACCATCCAATCTACTTTATAATCAACAATAAGCACTTCTGAGATGGCCAGACAGGAAATGCTGATTGTGTCTAATGGACATTTTTCCTCTATGAGCAGGTTACCTGGGTCATGGAGGTACCAAACCCCCAACGCTGGTCTCTGTAGTACTCTGTTCACGTCACCTGAGCTAATCCCAAAACAACTGAGTGCACTGATTAGAGCACTGGAGCCTAGGGGTAGTTTCTTGGTTCTACTACTTACTACCTGCAGGAGGTCAGACAATTTCTCTACCTTCTCTGGGCTTTGGCTCCCTCACCTGTAAAATGAGGAAACTGGACCACATGGTTGTTAGGGTCCTTTCCAGTTCTAGATTCCATGCATACAACCCAAGTTTTACATTTGGCATACAGGCTAATAGAAAAAAAATGACAGATCTTTTGTTTCACGCACACATTTAAGTATATGGAGAGGGAACAATATTCATACAAGAAATCTATGAATATTACATTAGATGACTTGGTATCATCAGCTACAATTGAAGGGAAAATTCTGAAGTCTCTTTCCCAGAGAGTATTGTCTGTGGTTAGATCAGAAACCTACAGACTTACTTTCTAACACAACAGTAAGAGTGAATGGCCTTGGACAAATAACTGCATTTCAGTACCTCTGATGTAAGTGGAGACAGATGCCAGACGCTTTGAGAGCTTCACATGACCTAACTATTCCAAGTATTAAATATCTTATAAATAAGGATAGGGGATTTTCGTCCATTCTGTTTTTAAAAGCAAAGGACACATTCAAAATCCAAGTCTATTTAGCACATGCTTGATGAACCTGGCTACATGTAAACCTTGACAATTCTTCCTTGGTCAGAGCTTCCTGGCACACTTTTAAAAGCTCTGGTATACGCTTGGAATGGTTTAATTAAAAACAAGATTGACATTTTCTTTTTTCTAGTTAATGGCAATTAATCCTAAAGGAACAGTGTGTACAAGTAAATGAAAGAAATTAAAGAGCTCTAATTGGGTAGGATTTCTAATCATGTGACTGGGCTTAGTAAAAGTCCATTCCATGAAAGTAAAAGGGACCGCATCTTTGTTGCTGAAGGGACAAAGCCTACTCAGGGCACAACAGGGCTAAGCACAGGATCAGAAGCCTGGCTCCATGACTGAGGTCTCATGCTACACGGATGGTGCTGATGGTGCTGCTGCTGCTGCTGCTGTCAAGCCTTTACACTCACACCAGTAAATTCAGTGAGCTGGGGACTTTTAATTGGTATCAAAAGCGAGACCACTGCTTTCTCCACTATAAAAGAAGGCCTCTTCCATATTCCTTAAACTGAATGCCATGAGGAACAGCCCCCATACCCTGAACTATAGCCAAGAAAAGCTAGAGCAGCCCCTGCCCTCAGCTGCTCCAAAGCAACAATTAAAATTTTTTAAAAGAACAGGCTTCATTCATAACGACTGACCAAAAATCTACAAATATTTGTTACCCTGCTTGATGGGATAGTATTAACCAACCAATCAAGCCTGTTCACCTGTACAATTCATGGGCCCAGTTAAACTTCTAAGTCTCAAAGCAAAATTTATTCAAGCTAAGTCAGTGACCCTAAAGGGGTCATGAGAAGGCATTTGGGACGATCTGCCAACTCCCTGTCAAGATTCTGGTTGAGACCTTGTCACACAGGCTAGTGGAAAAGACTTCAGTCTCTCTCTGAGCTGGAGGAGCAACTCACCACCGTGGAAACACTTCCAACATGAACTGCTCACGACTGCCCTCTGCCCAGTGGCTTTGGCTGAGCACTGAAGACAAGAATGGAAACATCCACACCCTTCTCACCCTCTCTTGGACAACTACGTCAACTGCACACTTTGCTTTGCAATGAAATAATCTGCTACCATGCTGCTCTTTCTTCCTTTGCTTCAACCAAGGCCCTAATACACTCAACAAGTCTGCTCTGGGGATAAATCTCTCAGCCTGTGCCAATTACAAAGTAATTACAAAGAGCACACCTGATGTTTTCTAGATATGTTTTTTAGGGTTAGTGGGAGAGCCAGATGAATCATGGACCCTTAAAAGCTGTGGGAAAAGAAGGGAAATAGAAGGCAACTAATTTCTGCCTCTGACCACTGAAGATCTGGGCAGGTGGGTTCACAGTATCATTACAACAGACGGATGTCCAGCTGCAAAGTCACTCTCTGGGAGCTGCTCTGCTGGCAGGGCAGCCCCAATACTTTTTGCATGTTCCTCTCCCTGGGGAACCTGTGAAAGCCCACAGTAGACCCTAGCCGTAGGTACACACCTGTGGTGATCAGCACCTCCACCAGCCACCTGTGGAAGAGAAAAAAAGGCTTGGTATTGGTAGTGTGCATCACCAAGTACCAGCCAAGGTTAGTATTTGCCATGAAGACTGCAGCATGTGGCAAGAGAAGGAAAGGTCACTCAACAGCAACACAACTATAACCTGGGGTTTCAGGAGAAAAAGAGCCTATGTGGATAAAACTTTTGTTTCATTTTCGGTTTTCAACCACAAGTGAGTAGAATGATAATTCCCACACCGTGTTGGTCTCTCTTCAGCTTCTGAATCCTCAGAGCCCTCAGGACTCCTCTTACGGTAAGTACCACACATGGCTTTGCGTTATATATTATCTTATTTCCCCCTCAGTGGATTCTGGGTTCTGTAAGAGTAGGGTTTAAGTCTCCTTCATGTTTCTAACTTCCATGATGCCTACTAGAGAGCACTGTACATAGTATGTATTTGGTGAACAAATGAATTCATGAATAAACTGTGCACACTATGTATTCACTGAACCAATGAATTCATAAAAAAGCCTTGGCACAGGCAGGAAGGAATCAGAACTTCCCATGTTATTTACTGGGAGAGGGCACAGGACCCACAGTCTTGTCCAAATTTACCATAACCAAACCCCGTGTCCCATAAATTCCCACATCTTAGTGATCTGGGTCAGGTCAAGATGGTGCAGTCTCTCACACAGTACTTTTCAAAAACCTGCAACACCAGAGTCACCAAGTCAAAGGAATGGGTTTTGCTGTTACCTTGAATTCACTTCTAGGGGCATTACAAACAGCATTAAAATGGTTTTGGAAATTCCCAGAAACTTTGAAAATTACTGAAGTAATCCACTGAGGTCCTGCCGCCTTCGTGTTCCAAGCAATTTCTTATCATATCTACATTAAGTAGCCAAGAGAGCAGTGTAACAATACAATCTGAAACCAGACATCGGAGATGGAAGCGTCGTCCCTCCTGGCTAAAAGTGCCTAAGTACTTTCCTTGTGACAACCCATTGAGGTAGACACAGCGCAAGCAGCATTATCCCTCATGCAGAGATGAAGGCACAAGCTCAGAGAGGCTGTGACTTGCTCCCTCCAAGAGTGACAAAGGGGTAAAGCTGAGGCTCACACACCCATTTGTGGTGACACTCCACCACCCCACGCTGCCTGCCTCTTCTCTCACCTAGCAGCTAAGTTCTCCCTCCACAACAGGAATGAACAACCCCAGAAAGAGTTCCACCTCACTCATCCCTCAGGACAGTATTCCCATGAGGAGGTCCAGTAGGGACAGCTTGAGAGAACAGGTGGGTGACAAAAGAAAACAGGCAGATTTGGATTCAAGTGCCCAGGACCAGAAACTCCCAGGAACAAACTCTATCAATATTACTGCCTCTTCCTTCCCGTTCAACCTCTGGGCAAGGAGCAATAGTGAAGAGCACCTTCCATAAAGGGTCTCAGTTTTCAGCCAAACCATCAGCTCTTTCCTCACTCTTAGCAGAATGTTTTGTACAGAGTCCGGTTTTCTTAAATATAACCATTCTGGCCGAGCCCAACAGACTCTTGGAAGCTCCGCCCACATGTCAGGTCACTATTGTCTATCAGGCACATTTTGCTTTTATGGCCAAATGATGGTTATCAAAACAGGAAATGAGGAAGAGATGTAACTATCGCCTTGGAGCTCAAATCTGAGGTAAAGGGAAATATACTGTGATGTATCTCCCTGGAACCTGGGGGATCCATCTCTGCAGGGAACACTGTCTGGTGCAATGAGTAATGTCCTGCATGCCGCTATGTGGCATTAACAGGTGGCCACTGCCTTCCTAGCGACTGGAGAGCATCTTGTCTAAGCAGTCTCCGACTACTGTGGGAACTGCCTCAAGACAGAAAAGTCAGAACATGAAAAGCCTATAGATGGTGTTGGGTCAAGTAACAATCAGAAGCATCATAACTGCAGCCTTCTAGGGTCGTGGGCCTTTGCCCAAGGGATTGTATTTGGCTGCTGGGAAAAAGTTACCTACCTTCAATGTGTCGCCGTACGGTCCAGACAGCATTGGGGTTACCAGGCAGCTCAGAGACGGCCATTTCTGACACCTGGCAGAAAAAGAGACAAAGACTGAATCTGGCCAAAAAGGACAGTCTTGCTGCCCACTGATTGGACAGCAAACACTCCAAGTCAACTCTCAGGAATCTTCTCTGTAATTGCTAGGAGTGTTTCAGAGTGCAGACAAAGAAAGGCAAAATACAGAGAACCCAAGAGAGAACGATCTAGTCACTATTGTGGTTAATATCGGGACTCACTATTAACTTTTTCTCCCGCTGGGCTGCTCAAAAGTAACACAGATGAACAGTACCATAATGCTTTCCCTCCTCATTATGAAGTAGAGGGAGCCTTGGCTTCTCAAAGACCACCAATAACATTCTTTTTTGGGGGGGGGGGGCCTAGGCAATGGGGCTAAGTGAATTGCCCAGGGTCACGCAGCTAGTAAGTCTTATGTGTCTGAGGCTGGATTTGAACTCAGGTCCTCCTGAATCCAGGGCCGGTGCTCTACCCACTGCGCCACCTAGCTACCCCCAAAAACATGTTCTGAAAGGCCAGCTAAGCTAGAAAGCTTTTGAGTACAGGCCTAACCATGGATTTTGTCCATCAGATGAAAACCAAAGTAGCTACATTCAGATGTTCAGCACTATCAGCTTAGTCACCAAAAAAAGGACTATCTAGGAGGGCTGTGACCTGTTAGAGGAAGGAGCATCCTTAAAGCAATGGCATATGCTTGACAGATGCTCTTTTAAAAATTAAATGTAGCAAATAAGTGGTTTTTATCTGTTCTCTCCACTAGAGGTGTCAAATATGATGGGCCATATATAACTCACAACACTGCCCAGTGTAGTTCAAGCTAGATAAAATGTAGTTCCTATCTGATTTTAATGTGTTGATGTACTAATAAAAAATATACATATATATAAATGTGTGGCTCCCATTTCTCTATGGTTTTGACCCCACTACTCTACACTAACTTCTAGAAAACCAAGGGAGGTTCCCTAGGTCTAAGGCCTACAAGAAGAAAAAAAGGCCTGGGGTCAATGAGACAGTGGTAAGAAAATATGACATACTGACTACTAAGCACTAATATGACTAAGTCCATTTTGAATGCCACAGGAAGAATTCCAACCTGCATCCTTACATAAAATACCTAGCCAGAGGGGCGGCTCATGGTCCACAAGATGATGCTAAAAAATTTCATCAGGAGCACTAAGTCAACAGACTAAGTTCAGGACCAGATTTAATTCCAGAGTTAAAGACTTGGCACAGTAGGATAACAACCTCATCACAGATGATACTAAAGAGGCTCAGGTTATGTTTAAATTTAGGGGTAGAACAGGAGGACAGCAGGATCGGAAATAAGCTAAAGTGACAAAGTGAGGGAGGGGACTAATGATAAACATGGACCTAAAAGATAGGTAGCAAAGTGTTATGGATAGAAGACCGTATATAAGGCCAATGAAAATCAGTAGCCTGCTAAAAGGTTTTACAAATTCTAAAAATATTTCAATTTTTCTGGAAGACTAAAAACCAAAACTTGACACATGTATAGATTCTACCACAGTGGAACCAATTCAAGTAACCCTTTCTAAAAAGAATCACCTGCCCAGAGGGCTATAAAGATGTACCCTCCCTTTGACCCAGCAATAGCACTTCTAGGGCTATATCCCAAAGAGATCATACAAACGAGAAAAGGACCTACGTGTACAAAAATATTTAGAGCAGCTCTTTTTGAGGCGGCAAAGAACTGGAAATTCAGAGGATGCCCATCAACTGAGAAATGGCTGAACAAGCTGCTGTATGTAAGTGTGATGGAATACTATTGTGCTATAAAAAATAATGAGAAGGCAGACTTCAGAAAAACCTGGAAAGACTTGTATGGACTGATACTGAGCGAAGTGAGCAGAACCAGGAGAACGTCGTATACAGTACAGCCACGTTGTGCAATGAATGACTAACATTGATAGACTTAGCCCTTTTCAGCATCTCCAAAGGCCTCATGATGGAAGATGCTATCCCCATGCAGAGAAAGAACTTTGGAGTCTGAATGCAGATCGAAGCATACTATTTGCTCTTTTTTTTTCTTGTTTTGTTTCCTCTTTCTTGTGGTTCCTCCTATTGGTTCCAATTCTTCTTTACAACATGACTAATGTGAAAATATGTTTAATAGGAATGTACATGTAGAGCCTACATCAGATGGTGTGACGTTTTAGGGAAGGAGGGGGAGAAAATTTAAAACTCAAAAGCTTATGGAAGGGAACGCTCAAAACAAAATGGAAAAAAAAAAAAAAGAATCACCAACAGAAGGATGACTTGGGCTCTTAAATGACATTTTCCAGGGTTATTATCTTGTGGACCATGAGCCACCCCTCTGGGTAAATATTATATGTAAGGATGCAGGTTGGAATTCTTCCTGTAGCATTCAAAATGGACTTAGTCATGTTAGTGCTCAGTAGTCAAATTTTCGTACCACTGTCTCACTGACCCCAGGCTATTTTTCCCCTTAGATGCCTTAGACCAAGGGAACCCCTGGTTTTTGGAGAAGTTAGTGTAGAGCAGGGGTGTCAAACCCAGATAGAAATGGGATAAGACAGGGCTGGAAGATCATTCACCTGGAAAATAGCATTGTTTTTGTTTTTTTTTGCACAACAGACCAAATTCTAACTCTCTTGACTACAACCAGAGTAAAAGTATATCCTGTCACATCAGTGTTATCCCATGATCCCATCAAATAAGCTGGCAATCCACCTTACCTCTAGTCCATGCCTTAAAACCCTTAGAGAAGATCGTGGGCCCCTGCCACAAGCTACATACAGCTGTGGGGTGTCTTCATTGGCCAGATCAGCAATCTGCACAGAGTAACATAGTTAGGATATACCTCTAGGATATACCTCTCTGACTATCACCCAACCAAACAGGGCCAAGCTGACTCAGCTGGAGCTAAACTGACATCATTTCACTCTACTGTAGTAATATAGTTCCCCTAGCTCCAAAAAGACAACATCAATTTTGGAGTGGAAGGAGAAACCCTTTCACTGAAAATGTCTTCAATTTCTGTTACCAGCACAAGATTTTTCATTTAGTTAATTACAGGATAAAACTGAAGACAGCCTGCTCAGATATTCTCAATTACCTGAGGTTTAAGGAAATTCCCTTCAATCTAGGGTATGCTACACTTTGCTAAGGTACTTTTTCCTTCCTTTATTAAGTCTGCATTCATTCCCTTCAGCTACAAAATTGTCCCAAGTGGATTTAGAGCAGAAAATTATTTTCTCCAAGTCACTGAAGGAAAAAAAAAACTAATTAGCTAAATGGGAACAGTGGTCCTTGGTGTCATTTTCTGTTGCTCTCAGGTCTATCCCTTTCTCAAGAGGGAAGAGTCTAAATTAAAACACACACGCGCACACACACACACACACACACACACACACACACACACACTCTCTCTCTCTCTCTCTCTCTCTCTCTCTCTCTCTCTCTCTCTCTCTCTCTCTCTCTCTCTCTCTGAAATCAATGTTCTGGACCAAACATTAGCCATGTCTTGATTATCTTGGTAAAGCCTGACTTGGTATCTCATAACTTTAATTTTGAATGCTAGAAAATTCCACTTTTGAAGCATCCCTATGAGAACCAAAATTTTCCCCAGTAGTTGTCTGTGTCCCCTCCCCTAGGAAATGATTATCTCTAGGGAATGACATTCAATTTTTTTAAAATTTGCATATTAAATGCCTATTCTGTGCAAGATAGTGGGTATGAGATTGAAAAAATTTCTGCCTTCAAGAAGCTTCTAGACAATTAGAAGCAATAATATGTGTGTGTGTGCAAATATGTACATGTGCGCACACACACACTCTCTCCTCCCACCCCTCACCCCCAGTAGTTTAAAGAGTTAAAGGAGGGTTCAAAATTCTAAGTAAGCCCCTCGAAGAAACACTGCCATGCTTCCTAGAAGAGTACCTACAGTTCTTCCCCCTTAGGAAAGGCTTCTTGAAGCCTTGCAAATCCCAACCTAGCCAGGGAAAAAAATGTGCATGTCCACCTGAGCTGCTGGTGCTTCCCCCCACCTTCACACTCAGGACAGAGGAGGAGGACCGGGCAGTACCTGACAAAACAGAATAGGAGAGAGACTATCCAGCTCATCCACCAACACCAAGTTCTTGAGAGGCCGGGGCTGGAAGAAGAACGTGTCTCCTTCTTCCAGGGGCATGGCCGAGGAGAACTCGGGTTCTTCATCATCATCGCCGAGATGGGCAATTTGATACAGGTAACTGTGGAGGAAGAAAATGGAAGAAGAACAAATACACCTTCTTGCTCCACGAACAGCCTGTATTACTTTAGCAGAGACTGCTCTGCGGAGTTAGGAAAAGTTGTGCTTCTCAGGATTTGGTATTCCTCATCATCATTAAGCAGAGAGCAGAAGGAATTTCTTGAATACACACCAACACAGTACTCTTTGCTAAGTAGAGTAAAATCAAAGAAGGAGATAGTGATAGTTTTAAAGGTTGCATAAATGTGACACAAACAATCTTAGTGCAGCAGAATGAATAAAAAAAATCCAAAGGACTGCCAGACTCTTATTTTAGTCATTATTCTCCCCCTGCACATATTCCCTATAAGGCCCTATAAACTTACTTTGCAAAACAGAAGTCTAGACCAGAGAAGTGGGAAGTGACCTGGTGTAACAATGCAGTTATTTCAGTCTGCTAATAAGCAACATGACTGATTTACCCTTACCCAGGCAGCCTAATTCACAGATGGTGTATCTTGAGGGCAAACCAACAAAAGGAAGGGAAAACACCACCACAAGATAACTAAAATTGAATTGCCAATAGCAACATTCTCTAGCTTCAGGCTACAAAGATGAAATGCACTTAGAATCCACAAGAAGCAAAGAGGTCAACTAAGTCAAATATCAAGCCCCTAAACCAAACAAATAATTAGTAAATCTAAATACCAGACTGAATCCCAGATTACTAAATCCTAGGCTAGTATAATAGAAAAAGTTCCCAGCTAACTCACATACAAGATACATTCAGAACAGGCTGGGTCTTCAATAACTCAATTTGCTTTGCAATAAGAAGACACAGGAAGATTTCTGAACTCTGAGCTGATTTAATGAAAAGCTTCATTTTGGAAGATTAATTTCAAGTCTGTGCTCATGATGGATTAGAGATAAGACAAAAAAAAAAAAAAAAAACAGTTAAGAGGGTCCACTGCAATGGTCTAGGCAAGAGACACTACAAAGAGCTGGAAGATACTGATCAATTTCCTCTATTCTTAATGCCACACGCCTTTTTACAGAGGTCTGGAGACCAGGTTACTGGGAGAGACCTGGCATGTTATTCACAGAAATGGGAAAGTTAGGAGGAATCTATCTGGAGGGAAAGCTCACTACAACATAGACTTGGAGCTGCAAAAGACCTCAGAGATCATAAGTGACTTGTACAAGGTCACACCAGAAACAACTTTGGTTTAGCCATGTAATGTCTGAGATGCCAACAAGACACCCTAGTAAAAAGTATTTCAATGAATGCTGACTGAAGGAATGAAATCACAGAAAAAGTACAGACAATAGCTAAAGGTCAGAACCTGGAAGGATGCCCATAGTTAGAGATGACGATGACAAGGAGCCATGGAGGACATCTGTCAGAGAGGCAGCAGTAACACCATGACGACATGGTGCCTCAGAAGCCAAGGCACGAGGGACTCAAAGAGGAGCCTGTAGTAAGGATTAAATGCTACAAAGATAAGGACTGAGAAAAGGCTACTAGAATGAGTGAGTTAGAGGCTAATGATGACTTCAAATTGCCGTAAAGGCCTTGCAACCCTCCTTGACCGCAATCTTCTCTGGTAAAACTGATCGAGTAGGTTAAGAGTTACTCACTGATTTCCAAATTCAGATGCCACAAAGAGGAAGCCTGTTTTGAGCACACACATAGCAGCAGCCACAGGGACAGTATCAAAATACTTCAGCCGGATCTCAGTAACCTAACAGGAGAGAACAGAAATGTGTGACACATTAGGGGACAACTTGGGGGTTTTATGTCAAGTGTATGTTATTGAAGAACTCTTAGTAGCACCCAAAATGCTAGGAGGCTGAAATGAAGATCAAGCAATTCTTCTAGTTGTTACATGGTGCACAGCACCACCTTCTTTCTGCCCAACATAAAATGAAGTAGAGAGAGGCAGCTCTCTGCTTCAATTAACTTCTATAAATCTGACAACCTCCATCCAGAAACAGATGTCTAAACAGACATCCCGACCAAACAGAGAATGAACTGTTACATAAGCTTTCAATGAAGGGAAGGATATAATCAAAACACAGGACGTGACAAGAAACACCTTAGACAAGCACATTCATCACGAACATTTATTCCAAGAGATTAAAAATGACATCTCACTCCCTTCTTAATCTACTTACCATGTCTTCATCTGTCTCCAAAGTGATTTTGAAAATGTCTCCTTGCTCAGTTTGTGCCAAAAAGAAGAACATAGACTTGGTCTTATGGGTAGCAGAGCAGACAAAAATCATTCCTCTCTCAGGGTCATCCAAGTCATTCTAACAAAGGCAAACATACACAACCAAGATCTTAGAAATGATACTCTTCCTCTCAGAAGAATCAATGGGTCTGAAACAGAGGCCAACAATTTAACCACAGTAAAAACTACTTTGGAAAAGGAAAACAAAGCAAGTATCTACCTTTTCGAAAAACAACTCCTGAACATCTTCTAGAAATGCAGCTGAATTCTGACTCTACTGCCCCATGTCACCAATAGCTGCCTCAACAATATTACTTATGAAGTCTGTGGCCAGTATGTCATTTTGTAACAACTCAACCATATTTGGGTCTCAGAGCCTGATCAGATTCAGAGAGGTAAGTTTTTGTCTCCAGGGAAAAAAAATTCAGAGAATAATCATGAAATAATCATCATTTCAGGCAGTGAGCAAAGTCATCATATACAACTGGCTTATGACACAAAGCACTGCTATCTCTCAATCATCTATCCATTACTTCTTTTACCTTCTCTTCACCCAAGTTCTGGATGTTATTATTAGTGAGAATTTACATCTCATTAAATTTTTTCGAATATCCCCCACTAAGTTCCCTTCACCCACACCAAAATCCAGAGGTCACCTTTCAAAAGCTTAGCCAAGCATCTCCTTGTTTCCCTTGCAGCAAATTTCCTTTACGTCAGGGTAACTCACCTTATGAGTACTCAACATGTAGTAATGAAGGTAAGAACTAGTAAGTCCAATCAATTTGCTGTTACCCTTCTGGTCATAAAAATAAGTTCTCTTAGCACATACAATAAACTGTATCCTTCTATGTTCCTTCTCCATTGCTATTTCCAAATAGCTCTCCCCTTTGTCCCCAAAGGTCTCACCCGCCTCCTAGGAATGGGACATCTGATATCAGGCTGATCACCGAAGTTCTTATAGGTGATGTAGTTTTCAGAACAGATCAATACACCACTTGGGCCATCTGAGCCTCCAGGCACTGTGGGATGAAGCAAAACATGTTAATGAGGCCAAAGAATCTCAAAATCTTAACAATTCCCTCTCCCAAAGGCAGACCATGGCTTGATGTGGAGAAACTTGCCACTGAGACGTGCTCTTAAGTTTGCTATTATAATGGTCTATCTTGTTGACATACAAGTGCAACATGTACCTTTTTAAAGTTAGATATGGGCAGAGTCAAGCGCAATGTTTGTGGACCTATGAAAACGGTGGCAGAACAAAATCCTCACAAAGGCAAAGGCTATGATAACATGCTGAAGTATACAATGTGGATGTGTGAAATCCTCAACCTCCTGCCCAGTTTTCATCTGTACTAGTTTCCAAGTCAGTTCCCTCCCTGCAAAGTAAAGTGTTAGGTTAAATGACCTCTAAGGTCTCTCTTCCAGCTCTAAATCTATGAGGTTTACATCTTACATTTTTAGATCAAAGTTAGGGACCACTTCTCATGACATATACCTGGTCCCCCAAACTCTCTCAATACAGTACTTGGTATACAAATGTGTTGTGAGACCATTAAAATGCTCCAAATGAGTTTAAATTAGTTTTTGCCTAATTCAAAAGACACGATACACTCCAAGGCAAGAATCTTATGAACTGTACCATATTCCTTTATATTCCTTATAGTACTTCGCAGAATCTTACATACAAAAGGTGTTCAAAAAAATCTTTGTTGGGGATAATGTAGATTTTCAAAGGACAATAACTTTTGCCAAAGAAATGGTCCCTTTCTCATCTTCTTAAATATATAATTCCTGCCTCCCCTTCCCCAATAGTTAGTTTCCTCACCTAAAAAAATTAAGGAGAAAGGGTGACGGATAATATAATCTTTAAGATCTGTCAGTTCTAAAATACTCGTTTTAGCACCATTCCTTTTCTCTTACTCATCTCTAATGCTGAACCCAAACTTCACAGAACAAATTCTTTAATAAAAGGGTTTGTTCCGTAAAACTCTGATTCAGTCAAAAGGCCACACCGGAGGACCTAGAAGGCCACAGGTGGCAGACTGCAGGTTCCCCACCCCAGCCTAAGACTACAGCTCTTATCTCCTGACATATTGTTGTTTGTCGTTTCAGAGGAGGACCATGACATTAGGAAGGTGATGCCATGACTTGCGTGTGAACTGAATTAGGGAGAGCTGTGAGTCACCAGCCTCACTTTCTCCTCCAGAGTCATCTGGGTCCAACAGGAAGGATATAAATCAGCACAGCTAGAGACACAATGGGAGACCTTGGTCTTTTAAAGCTAAGGTCTTTCAGTTCTCACTTGGACTGAGCCACTGCCCATTCAGTGATTAAGGCTAGAAAAAAGTCAAGGAATGGCCTCTTTTACCCAATTAAAAAAAAAATCAATCTGGGAGGGGAAGACCCTCAAGGTTTCTGGTCAAAAGAAACAATTACTCTTTCTATTCACTGAGCCATCAGGGCCTAAACAATGGCCACTAAGTGGGCTTGGGCAGGGACTTATCCAGGGCCAAACAATGAAGCACAGTGAATTCTGTTTAAGGCAAGGTCTTTAAAGAAGAAATCTAGACCAAAACCCCCAAGATACCTGGCAAGGATTCAGCCATCAAAATTTACATTCCTTTGGGCAAAGCACCCACAGGTAAGGGTATGATGCCCTATGTGGACAGCAGGCGAGGGGCTCCAGACAAGTTAACAAGAACTGAACACCACTCCCCTTTCCCTAACATTTTCAAAAACCTTCCCTCCTGCCTTATAAACCCCTCGATTTCCCGTGTTCACACACACACACACACACACACACACACACACACACACACACACACTCTCTCTCTCTCTCTCTCACTCCTTCCCCCTCCAGACCTCACTGTAATCTAGCTTCCATTTTACTGAAATCATCACATAAGGCAGTTGGATTCAATGACCTTCAGCTGTCAATCTATGATCCCAAGTTCTTCAAAGTGATCTTCTTAAATCCAAGGGCCTTATCGCAGCGCCCATTTTCTGCTATCACCCCCTCCACATCATACTGGTAACAAATTCCTTCTTGAAATGCTTCCCACACCGGGTTTCAATGACACTTAACTTCCCATGGGCATCTTTTTTCCTTGCTCTCCCTCCTACCCAAAACCTATCTTTAGTCCTCCACTTTGCTTTCTTGACATTCACGACTTCAGTGAACTTCATCGACCCTGTGGTTCCCACCTCTCGGGATCACTCCTCCACCTCATTTACCTCACCCCAGCCTGACAGATGGAAGGGCAAGAAGCAGCTTTAGGGAGGTGATACCTGTTATGAGGAAGTTGCCATGCTCCTCCAAGGGCTCGCTGTATTTTCGGACCACGTGGTTTAACCCTAAATCTAACTCATAGAAAGTGAGGGTTTGTTGGGTATTGGCTGCAGCTTCTCCTGTTGGATCATTGTCTGCTTCCTACAAAGAACAAAAAGCAGAGAGGAACAAAACCAGGTTAGCTGGTAATACAATTCCCTGGCAGAATGAAGGCAGGCCTTTCTTCTACATCTCAGGGGGCTCCCCGCTGTCTGCATTCTGAGGTAATAAAATCACTTTTCCTCTCACTGATGCTGTCTAACCTCTTCTATCTACAGCTTGTTTGTACAGGTTCTTTGTCTGTCATCTCTCATTAGACAGGAAGCTCCCTGAAGGCAAGGATGTCTTTTGCCTTTGTGTCTTCAGTGTGCTGTATAAATGTTTATTGATTTGGGTAGATAGCTCAAACCACAGCCTAGAACACTTAATACATGCAAATCAATTCCTAAACACTTCAGAGTAAAAGGCAGCAGCCCACTGGCAAAAGTAGGAATGGAGAGGGCATGAGAACAGAGACAAGAAGCTACACAGCAGAAGGCACTCTAAAAAATGCTGACCCAATCTGAAGCAAAGTAAGAAGCAAAGCTACTCTATGGCGTCCTTTACCTCATAATCCATCTCCAGACAAGCAAACATGGGATTTTCAAATCCAACATCTACTCCAACCACATGATAAACCAAAGTATTGGCCTTGTGGGCTTCCAAAGGGGAGGAAATGGTAAGCCGGGCAGCAGCATCTCTGTTAAGAATGTAAACCAATTTCTGCTTTTCAATGGCACCTGAAGGTGAAGATAAAACACAAACATGAGCACCCCATATCATCTTCATCAAAAACAATTAAAGAATTATATCCAGAGCTCATATACCATGAAGATTACAGGATCACACAACTTAAAGCTGGAAGGGACCTCCATGGCCATCTAGTTCAGGCCCCTCATTCTGCATGAGGTAACTGAGACTCAATCACACAGCTGCTGTGACAGGACCTGAACCTGGGTATTCCTGACTGTAAATATCACTTCAACAACTATCACTCCCACAATAGATCGACAATATCATACTTTCCATTTGTTTGTACTTAGCAACTTCTTCTAAAAATTGGCTCGTGTGTTCCTATGTGTTTAAGGTAATTTGGGACCTAGCGAAAAATTTTCAGTCTAAGATCAACTATTCCCATTATTTCAGGAATACTCAGTGAGAGTTTCCCCCTCAAAGCCTGATCAGTTATACAACATATTTTCTCCAGAAGAAATCTCAGAGAAGAGACATGAATGTAAATCATCATTTCAGGCTGATGAAACATTTATACCCAAGGTCAAACAAGCCAACTTCTTCCCTGAAACAGTCATCTCCCCTCCCTACCACATCTAAAATGACACAAGCTTGTTCGAGAGGAGGATGGGTGGCTATGAAAATTACAGAAAGCAGAGAAAGGATTTTTTATATTGACCCCACCATTTAAAGAGACAGAAGTCACTATTCTATTGTTTGGATATGACACATTTTACGCATCAGTAATTGTAGAGGTGGGCAATAATTATACAGCAGGACAGCTAGGTGGCACAGTGGAGGAAGTGCCAGGCCTAAAGTCAGAAAGACTCATCTTCCTTAGTTCAAATCTGGCCTCAGATTCTCACTGTGTGACCCTGGGCAAGTCACTTAACCCTATTTGCCTCAGTTCCCTCATCTGTCAAATGAGCTGGAGAAAGAAATGGCAAACCACTCAGCATTTTTGCCGAGAAAACCCCAAAATGGGGTCATAAAGAGTTGGACACAGGACAGCTAGATGGCACAGTGGATAGAGAACCGGCCCTGAAATCAGGACTTGAGTTCAAATCTGGCCTCAGAGCAAACACTTGACACTTGCTTGCTGTGTGACCCTAGGCAAGTCACTTAACCCCAACTGCCTAAAAAGAGTTGGACACCACTGAAACAAGCAAACAAATTGTAGAGTTGCATTGATATCTTATCAAGAGAAACTCTCTGTTTTCTAAGCAGGTTAACCTATATAGCAACCTCACCTTAAACTAAGCCATTAGTACAACCAGAACTATATAGAATCCAGTTGCAAAAATCACTTACTAATCATGACAGCTCTGCCTTTGGGATCAACGGCTAAGAATTGTCCAGGAACAATTCGGCGGCACCCACTCTTGCCAAAAGTTTCCTGATGAATCTTCTCAAACATGTTCTTGGATGGCTGATACTCCAGGATGACAATTCGGCCTGAATCACTGCCAACGACAATGTAATCTTTTGTACCACCTGTCAACCTGAAGGCCATGAGGGATCTGATAACACCAAACACTTCCACAGTCAATAGGGTGTGCACCTTCCCGGTGTTGGGGTCAGGCCGGAGCAGCTCCAAAATCTTTCCTCGAGAAACAACAATCTCCTGTTGTTTGGTTCCTAGGTTACCAAAGAGGAAAGATGATCATGAACAATCAACAAAATCTATCTGAAAAAGGAACACAGAAGTACTGACAGACCACAGCAAATAACAAAATGCATTAAAAAAAATTTTATTATTATGCCTATTCTCTCTAAGAGGTCTCTACATCATTGCACTGAGGGTCCCCAGAAATGTACTTCCTTCTCACCGCCTGGAAATTCCTGGCTTCCTTCAAGACTCAGCTCCACCTTCTACACAGATCCCCAGTGCTGCAAGTATCCTCCTTTCCCAAACCACTTCACTTTCATTGTGGACATATTCTGTATATACCATTTTATATACATGTGTCTGTCTCTGCTCCTTGAGATTGCGTACTAGTCACCTTCTTTGTAACGCCCTCCCCACCTCCCTCCAATCCAGTTTAACACACAGTAAGCGATGAATTCTTATTGAATGATTTATACACCCTATCTCCCCAGCTAGACCCAGTTCCTTCAACGAAGGCACTGGCGGTCTTTCTTTCTCCCACAGCACTCTGGGGAATCAATTAACGCTTACTGAACTTCTGATGACTTTGGAAATATCCTGGGAGACAGGAAAATATAACCTGGAGGTGACCTGTTACTACACCAATTTTAGAGATTTTGAGATGGATTAGGCTAATTTACACATGAAAACTGCTGGCTCTAGACAATCCTACCAGATGACTGAAAACTTGTCATTTGTTAGTTGGTTAAACAAAAATACAAATGTTACTTTGTTTTCAAACTGGAAAAACCATGGCTGGAGAACTTACCTGAGAAGTTGCCATGAATGGCAAAACTGATACCCGTGGCTCGCTGCAAGGTCAAGTTATACAGGAACATGGTGGCAAAGTAACAGGCTCACCCAGTACCTCTGAATTCAAGTTTCAATATAGACCTGCTCCAAGATGCACTAAAGAATATGTAAAAAAAAAACAAAACAAAAAAACTGTTAGTTTCAAACTTCATGGCTTTGTCTAGATGGTTGGTGAGTGCATAAAGCAAAAAATAATTTGAAAGGAAAAGTTAATGTAAGCCTTTCCAAGCTCTCAGTATTTCTTCCCCAAAATATTAAACCAAGGATGCAGCGTAGTGTCCACACTAAGCAGCACTCCCTCTTCAAGACAGGATCCACAATTCATTCTATCTTAAAAGAGTACCTGAGCTGGATCAAATGTCTCAAGAGGCACAGTGTACAGAGCACTGAACCTGGAGTCGGCTCAGACATTCACTAGCAACTATGTAACCCTGGGTGAGTCCCTCAACGTTCTCCATCCTGTTTCCCCCATCTGTAAAAAGTAGATAACAGCACCTATCTCTCAGGGTTGTTTCTAGGAGGAAACAATCGTTATAAAAGTACCTACTACGTGCTCGGATACTACGCTACGCACTTTACTATTATTCGCTTTGATCTTCACTACAAGTCACACAGCTAAGAGGGGTCTGCGGTGGGGTTTGAGCCACAGCACCACCAGCGGGGTCTCCACCAACCCCCACCCCAAGCCCGCTGCAGGCGGGCAGCAACGACCGGATAACGGGTCCGGGTCATCCCTCAGTCTCCCCCTCTGCGCCGCGCCAAAGTGCTCGCCCCGGGCGCTTCCGAGACCTCCCACCCCCTCGCGGGCCCGCGGCGGCCTCCTCGTCCCCCGGAGCCCCCTCGGCCGCCTCCAGGGAGCACCCCGGGGTGCGCTCAGCTCAGAAAAAAAGGCCCAAAAAAGGGCAGGGAGGCCTCCCGCCACGCGTGCCGGGCCCTCTTCACTGACCCGAAGAAGGCCCACGACCTGAAGCCTAGGCCTAGCTTCCCCCCCCCCCCCCCCCGCCCCCGCCGCCGGCCTGGCCCGCCAGGCCCTCAAAGCTTCGACGGGGACCAGCTCCCCGTCATCCCTTCTGTCCCCCGGGGTGCAGGGGATTCGCGAAGTCGCTACTCACCCCGCGGGCGGGCAGGATGGCGCAGATATCCGACGGATAGAGATTCCCCCCCCCTCCGCCACAGGGCCTAAGCTGCCAAGAGCGCCATTCCTCCGGCTTCCTACATTCGCCGTCCACAGGAGCCAAGTGCGCAGACGCAGAGCGAGGACCTTTCGGTCCCGCGCCAGAGGGAAAGGAGGTAGCCGACACTGCGCCTGATCCGTGGTCCACCTCTAGCCCTTCTCCCACCGTCAGCTTGTTTCATTTTGAAAATTATTTAAACCAATGTGAAATTCCTCCTTCCCTCCTGGCAGGGGAACAGATAATCAGGAATCAAAGTGCACCATTTTATATGTCAGTGAAGAAAGCGTCTGGCGTTTACATCGAGATGATGTATGCAAAGCAGTGCCGACCTTGAAGCGCTATAAAAATGACAGTTGCTGCTCTTGTTATTATCATTATGCCCAAAAGTCTTAGTGCTCATCTATGTCATTAAAAGCTTAAATGTGTACTAGGACCTGGGGAACAGCCCCAATTAGTCATTTTTTCTCCATTCCTATTGTTACAGGCACTTACCTGGGAAGCCACACTCGCGAGGGAGGGATCCTCCGCTGCGCAGCCGGAACTGCGGTGTCGGCACCAAGATGGCGGACGGCAGCTCCCCTGTCAAGCTGTCTGGAGGGGCGGCGGTGGCGGTGGCGCCTGAGGGAACGGGAGGAGGCTGCTGCTCAGAGCTCTCTGCCGAGCTCATCCGCTCCCTGACCGAGTTGCAGGAGCTGGAGGCAGTGTACGAGCGTCTTTGCAGTGAGGAGGTGGGGGTCCCACCTCCCCCTCTCCCCCCCCTCCCCGGGAGGCCCGGGCCTCCCTCTCGCCTCCGGGCCCTGGGACAGCTCGGGGACGGGCGGCTGGGAGGGGGTGAGGCCTGACGGGGTGTGTGTGTGTGTCGGGGGGGAATCAGGGAGCCCCGCTTGCCGCGTCTCTCACTTAATCTCACCAGCCTCAGTTTCCCTCTATGTAAAATGGGGACGAGAATCGCTCCCCCATCCCTGGATAACGTATGCAAAGCGCTTTCTGATACTTAAAGCGCTACGCAAACGTCAGGTTTACTGTCATCGTTCGGGGCTGGCTTGGGGGTGGGGGCGCAGCGGCCTCCTCCTGCGATCTGGTCTAAGGACCGACCTGGGAGTGACCATTGGGCGGCCGGCAGGGCGACGACCCTGGAGGCCCGGTCATCCTCCGAACCCCTAGCACTGGCCCACAGCAGGCACTTAATAAATGCCGATTGATTGATCAGTGTCGTGTACCCCTTCGGCAGTCTGGTGAATCCAGCCCCTGGACTCTGTCTCAGATCGATGCCTTAAATGCATAACATAAAATGCACCGGGGTTACCAAGGAAAGCAGTTATGCTGAAGAAGTTTTAGAAACATTAAAAAAAGGGAAAAAAAAATCAGACACCCAGCCCCCCCAGCTTAAGAACCAGCCCCTACACACACCCTATGAGGTTGTTTAGACTGAAGAAAAGAAAACGTGATAGAACTTTAAGGATTTGAAGGTATATTATGAGGAAAAGCAGACTTCATTCCATTCAACAAACACTAAGTGCCTATTACGTGCGGGCACTGTGTTAAGTACTAGCAACTGAGGCCTCAAGGCTTTTTCCCAACCCTGGGAGATCAAAAGACCCTCCCCTCATCCTTCCTCCATCACCCTCTCCCCGGCCCCCCCTCTCTGGGTTTATTCTGCTTCTTGGTAATTAGCTTTTCCTAAGTCCTGCCTTAGGCAGAGATATATTCACCTGACTGAGAGCCCTGTGTTTCAAGTCTTAGTACTGGAAAGGAGGAAATCTGCAGATTTGTTTGATTTTAAAATAGCAATATGCACTTTAAACTGCAAAACCTGTTCACAGTCATTTACACTTGAAAGTTTCCACGCACAATAATGTTATTTAACGTCACTGTATCTCTTCCTCCATTTGTCTGTGTGTATGTTTTTCCTTTCACGTAGCCCCTTGATAGTCATACATTCTGTTGTTCTTGTCATTTTTTCACTAGTACTTCTTCACAAAAGTTTTTCCAAATTTCTTTACACTCTTCATACTTAAATGACATCATTGTAGTCTATTACATTGATAAACCATAGTCTATTCACTGCTTTGTGACTGATGTACCATGGTGTATTCAACCATTCATCAACTGTTGGATGTATTTCTAGTTCTTTGTAATGATAAATAATATTGACATATGTGGGTGTATGTATGTATGTACACATGTATTTGTGTATAGGTACACATGAATATATATGCATATACATATATATTTAAATATCTATAACTGTTAACACTTTTAATGTATATTCCCAGTAATGGGATAATTGAGTCAAAAATTATTATTTTTGCCATTCTTGCTGTGTACTGCCAGATTGTCCTCCAAAAGTCCAAATGTTCTGTGATACTCTTTAAGGCCTCTTGCCTGGATTTAGATAGATCTCTGTTAAATGCCAGAGCCTGTTAATTGGAACCTTGAGATCTCTCAAGCTGAGAACTTTACTTTCTCATCACATGTACCAAATTCACTATTTATTGCTTGTCTGTCATGTTCTTTACAGAGCAGAAGTAAGAATCCTTCCCTCTGATCCAGTAGTCAGATTGGGCAACTACATGGGGAATAGTGAAAAAAATCACAAGATTGTAGATCTGGAGCTGGAAACAACTTTAAAGACCATCTAGTACAATCCCCTTATTTTACAGAGGAGGAAACGGAGGCCCACTGAACATCTGTTCAGTGATTTGCCTGAGGTCACACAGGTACTAAGCAGCAAACCTAGGTCTCCTGGCTCCAAGATTAATGCCCAGCCAAAGCTTCTGTTTAAAGTTAGGTGTAAAGGGCGTCATGTTCTCTTATCATTGATATCTTTGAGTATGATCAAACCTTTAGGAGCACCAACTACAGCAGTTAAGTGTACCCCACACAAGATTTTTTAAGCAGTTATCTGCTTTTTCAGGTTTGGTACTTTTGACCTGGCATTTTACCACCATCCTAAGTACCTCATTTGTTGAATTTGTCAAGATTTGTAGGAGTCTCCAGGGGCTATTATATAAAGTTTTATTTATATATACCAAGTGTACTTCCATACTGTTTATGGTAAGTTTTCCCTTGAAATCAGACTGTTATATTAATGGAATTGGATAGGACTGTACTTTTTGGCTTTTAGAAAATAATGTTTGCAGTTGCTGTGCGTTTCTTCTCCCTCCTCTCCCTCCCTCCCCTAGGTACATGACCCAGCGTTGAAGAGCTGATCTTGGCTCTTCAGAGATAGTGTAAACCGGGGAGTGACATGAGCTTTGCTTTTTGTTTCAGAAAGTGGTGGAAGAAGAGCTGGATGCCCTTTTGGAGCAGCAAAGCCCAATTGAGAGCAAGATGATCACCCTGCATCGGATGGGGTGAGTGAGTCCCTTTGGCTCGTCAGGGACAGTTTTCCTAGTCCAGTGTAGTAGGATGGGAAGAGCCCTGGATTGGGAGTCAGAGCACCCACTCTGTGGAATCCCCATCCCTGCTGTGCGACCTTAAACAAGTCACCTCATCTCTGTGAGCCTCAGTGTCCTATCTGTAAAGTGAGGGAGTTAGACAAAGTCAGCAGTTCTTAACTTTTTCAGTATCATGGACTCCCTTGCCAGTCAGGCGACACCTGTGAACGCTTTCTCAGAATGTTTTTAAATACATAAGATTAAAAGACAAACCCATTTTATTGAGTTAAAGATGAAAAGGGCAGCTCGGAGGCTTAGTGGATAGGGCCCAGCCCTGGAGTCAGGAGGACCTGAGTTCAAATGTGGCCTCAGACACTTACTATCTGTGTGACTGTGGCCAAGTCACTTTACCCTGTTTGCCTCAGTTTCCTCATCTGTCAAATTAGCTGGAGAAGGAAATGGCAAACCAATCTAGTATCTTTGCCAAGAAAACCCTAAATGAGATCACCAAGAGTCATCTACAACTGAACAACAGCAAAAAAGATATAAACTTAATAGTTTCTTTTGGATAAATTAGCAATTTTGTTAGTTTCTTTTTATAAATTTCTGATTGGGTCTGATTATCACCTATACAGATGACTAACAGATTTATATACCTAGATACAGTCTGTCTCCTGAGCTCCATTCCCACTTCACTAACTTCTTCCTTATCATTTCAAATTGGATGTCTCTGAGACATCTCAAAATTCAAACTTTCTAAAACAGAACTCATTAAATTTCCCCCCAAACCCCTCCTCTACCAGCCTTCTCTATTTCTGTCAGACCCCACCATTTTTTCAATCTCACACTTTCTTAACCCCGGCATTATCCTTCTCTTCACTCCCTCTCTGCTCACATCTAGTCAGTTTCCAAATCTTACTGTCTCTCCCTCCACATCTTCTCTTGTGTCCTTCCCCTTCCGTATACTCTCGCAGCCACCACCTTTTTTCACCTCTCTCAGATTCTGGCGATGGCCTCCCAGTTGGTCTCCTTGCCTCAAGTCTCTCCCCAGACCAAACCAGGCCATCTTCCACACAGTTGTCAGTCTTTTTACTTAAGCACAGGTCTAACCACTTTACTCTCTTCCTCCATAAACTCCTGTGACTCCCTATCACCTAGGATCAGACTTAAGTTTAAGTGTTTTACACCTTATCTTTCCCTCCCCATTATACTTTACTGCCCTTCCCACACTATGTAGTCCAGCCGAACTGGCCTTCTCTGTGTTCCTCACACATACAGCACTCCTCCCCTCTCTTCATGCATTGACCATCCTCTGTGCCTCCTGGGCACCCCTTCCTCAACTCTGCCTCATAGACTCCCTCCCTCCTTCAACATTTAGCTCAAGTCCCTCCTTCTAAACAGAGCCTTTCAACCAGAAGCCTTCCTCCCTCCCTTATATATATGTATTTTACTTATTCATACATCTGTATATCGGTGGTGTCAGACTAGAAGCAGGGACCACTAAACTGTACATGAGGATCCCTGCAGACCGCAGATTGACAGAAAACCACATGTTAACATCATCTGTGTTCTATTGTATTTTTATTTATTTTGTTAAACATTTCCCAATGACATTTTAATCTGGTTTGGGCCACTCTCAATAATGTTGCAGGCTCATCGTGGCCTTAGGCC